CTTTGTAAAGATACTGTGTTGTTGTATCTTCGATGCTAATGAGTACGTCGACAAGGTCGACAAGACTGTTGAAAATGCTGAGAGAGAGTAACGGGGCTCGCCTTCCTGCGTGTGAGGGATCCTGAAAGCCAGACCATGGTTGCCACTCTTCCAGACCGTCTTCATTAATGGTTCCAAGGTGCACGAAGTCGCTTCTTCGGAAATGCGGACGCCGTTTGAGTTGAAGTGCTAGCATGCTATCGAGCAGAAAGCAACCAAAATAAACATGCTTGCCTCTGGGATTACTCATCAGCGTCACCTGGTCTACACTTTCCAGGACCCTTGAGGCAGATCCAACAAGCAACCAGGCATCTCCAGTATGTATTCGCAACATGTTAAAGACAACCAAATTAAGAAGGGCTTTGATGTGGCCAATGTCGAAGCGATCCAGTTCACTGGGTACGAGCGACTTGGCGTGCTCGTATAGTTTCCTGGGCTTTACTGATGAAGAGTCCAACGGATTACACGTCATGGCTGTTCCGTAAAGTGATCCCACCGCCAGCACGCTCCATAGTTCAGCGAACAAGCCAGATCCAGGCTGACCAGATACACTTGGAATGCCCTGAACAGGGAGGTCGTAGGCAGTCTTCAAGATGTCATGCTTCTCGCAGATTGGAAGCCAGGATTGTACGTTGGTGAAGTAGACCTCTATAAGCTTCCAGCTGTCTCCCAATATTGGTTCAGATGACGCTGCCATAAGCTGATCGAGATTTGCATGCTCGACATGCTCCTGTAGGTAGGCGCTGCGATCCTGGGTAAGACTAGCATGTGCAGCTACAGACTCATCTGCTCCGGAATCGTCATCACTGGTATGAGGTGAAATTCCAGTCGATTGCTCATGACGCGAAGGTTCTCCTCCAGATAGTAGCTTATCCACTTCGGTGTAAAATTTCGCTTTCCGCCATCGTCTGTGCAGCTTGTTTGCCTCTTTCGAGTCACCACGACCCAATAGTAGTGAAGATGCTCCTTCTTGCGCCAGCTTCTCATGGAGAGCTGTCTCATTTTCAGAGTCTCGCTGGAACAAATAGGCAAGTGCTAGCTCAAGAGTGCGAATGTAGCCAGGTTGGATACCTCTTTTCTTGGGATTTGCAGTGTACGAGCATTCTCTTGACGTTCCTGAGCAAGTGGAGCACGTTGGCTGTACTCCGTCGCACTTCTCACGGGCGACACGGCACTGGTCACATGCTCGTGATACTCGGGTTCGTTTGGCAGGCTTCTCCTCCGGCTGGGGTGCGGAACGGCGCTTTGCCTGGGCTTGGGCAGGCATGAGCCTTATTCGGACGAAAGGACAGCAAGTGAGCAGGTACCGAAACTAATCTCGGGTGACAAAATTGCCAATGACGTCTTCGCATGGTTCGCGGATTTGTTTTCTGCGGTATTATGAGTAAACGCGGCAAAGCTCGGTGGCAGGCGCCGCCAACCCACCGTTTGAACTGTCCACCTGCGCCGCGGAGCTCATCAGCTGCAAGGCCGGGGATCTATCATGCGTGAGTAATAATTGGCGCGCGGATAGTTTTTTTCGTACGCCCTCAAGGCACGTTAAGGGAGTGCAAAGTTGTCGCGTGTCCAGGCGAAGTCGGGAAGGCGCAAAAGAGGGGGAAGATAGCTTATCCGGAACTTGCAATGTACGAGCGCTCCTCGCACACAAGTAGCTTGCGCCAATACCCAACCACCATCGCGACATGGCGTCGCGTAAATGTAATCGTTGTCCCTCTTACAACCTCTTCCCATACTCTCCAGGCTGACTGGGGTTCTTTGTGTGTTTACGGCCTTACCATGCATATACATAGAGGTCGCAAACACACCCGGCTCAGCAGTATACGGCGCACCTCACCTTTTGTCCCTGGGATTACCGGAACTACAACACACTTCCCGAATACCAGATACCGGATCTGGGGGCCAAGGGGTACCTGAAATAAGTCTTGCGCATCCTGAGGTCTCGACTATGGCTTCTGTGGTGGTAGGGAAACGCGTCTTTGCGTCCTTGGGCGAGGACGATGGAGCCACCAGTGACTTCTACCGCCGGCACAATAGGCCAATCTCAGGGGAGGCCGCTCCATCCAGGACTGGTGGATCCCGTCAGAGGCGGAAGCTCAGTGTGGGCGACATGTGTAGGAAAATAACCCGTACCTTGATCGGTCGCATACTGACCAGCGACAGCCTCCGCAATGTTCGGTACCCGCTCCACTCCTCTCGCTGCCCCCACCCCCGCCGCTCCTGCGAGTTATCGCCGCCGCACATTCAAGAAGGATGCCTCCATCGTGCTTCTCGGTATGCCAGGAACTGGCAAGTCCACCCTAGCTGTCATTGCCTCGATGGCTTGCCGGAGGCGCGTTGTCGATATTGATGACATGTTCCAAGACACGACAGGCTTTTCTACTGCCAAATACCGCAAGCAATTCGGTGCGGCCAACTATAATTTGCGACAAGAAGAACTGCTAAGAAGTCTTCTTCATGAGCATGACCACGACGCGATACTTGTCTGCAATGGCGTCTCTCTGGAGCGGAATGGGCAAACCTTGATACAAGACTTTGGTCGGACACATCCGGTAGTACATGTACTGCGCGATCTTCCTAGCCTGCATAGCTACCTGGGCCGGCCTGACATGCAGAGACTCAATGACATGTTCGCCTTTACCGCACCCATGCTGCGGCGCTGCTCTAATTACGAGTTTTATAACATATCCGAAGCCAAAGCCGGGAACGTTGACACGTCAGATGACCAGACCATGGCTCCAGCATTTCTCACACTGAAGAGGGCGCAGAGGACCTTCCTCAAGTACTTGTCGCTTATAACGACTCCCGAGCTTCCGGATGAGTCGGTTGGGGCGTCCATTCCACCACTAGAACCTGGTTATCCGCTGTCCGATGTAGCAACCGAGCTTCGGAAATACACTTGTGCCGTGCAGGTATCGCTGCAAGACATACTTGCTCCAGACGCCGACGTTCAAAGCCTAGAAGTTGGCGCTGACGCCTTTGAGATCACCCTTGATTTGAGTCAACAACGTCCCATTGCCACCCTCATGGACGATGTTAGCGCTTGTGTGTCGAAAGTACGCAGAAGCACAGTGGTACCGATCATATACCATGTGCTGCCTACTTCTACCTCGGATGGCAGCCGAACACTCTATTTGGAATACATACATCATGGTTTGCGCCTGGTACCTGAGTACGCGACTATCGACCTGTCGCTGGACCCTGGCGCGCTTGCGGACGTCATCAACTCTCGCGGTACAACCAAGATGATCGGCCATCTGCATGCCGACAAGCCATGGGAGGATCATTCTTGGGTGGCACAGTACGAAAAGGCCGTACGTGTTGGGTGCTCCGTCGTTCGATTTACTCGGCCAGCTCATTCCATTGATGACGATGTTTCGGTTCGCAGCTTTAGTCGTCGAATGGCAGCGCAGGATGCCCAGATCCCTTTGATTTGTTATAATACAGGACGAGCTGGTCGACGCTCCGTATGCTTCAACCAACATTTTACGCCTGTTGTTGCGGCCTCGAAAAGGGACGAGGCTGACGATACCGCGTCAATAGCACAGTACCCACGCGATTCTTGGCTTACTGCTAAAGAAGTGACACAAGCCCTCTACAATTCATTCACATTCGACCCCATGCAAATGTACATCATTGGTGTGCGCCTGGGATACAGCGTATCGCCAGCGATGCACAATGCAGCGTACAATGCTTGCGGAATGCCACACATTTTCAGTCGCATCGAGAGCCCGACTGTGAACCGTCTCCAGGAGCTTGTACGCAAGCCGAACTTCGGTGGGTCCATTGTCATACAGCCCTTCAAGATGGAGGTAATGGCGCTGGTAGACTCACTGAGTCAACATGCCCGAGCGATTGGCGCTGTCAACACAGTCATACCTGTACGTCGGAGAAAGGACGATGGCAGCATCCCAAGCGACCTCGAACTCTTCCATGAGCGTAACCAGTCTGGGCCCGTCCAAGCTCTTTATGGAGACAACACCGAATGGATTGGGATCCGGTCCTGCGTACGACGTGGTCTTTCTCCAGCTAACGCGGTACGGCCGTCAACGTGCGGACTCATTATTGGGGCTGGCGGTATGGCGAGGGCAGCTGTTTACGCGCTCTTGCAATTGGGTGTAATGAACATTGCCATTTTCAACCGAACTTACAAGAGAGCCGAGAGTCTCGTAGAGCACTTCTCGCGGCTCGCCTCGAGCTCAGTGGACCATGTCAGCTCACGGAAGATGCGGCAGATGCGGCCAAATTTGACGATATTGAAATCGCGCGATGAATGCTGGCCGGAGCATCTCCGGGAGCCTACTATCATCATTTCGTGCATACCTACGGATCCAATAGATGGGGGCCCAGCAGCGCAATTTTCGCTACCTCCACAGTGGATGGAGAGTCCGACTGGCGGTGTCGTGATGGAGACGGCATACAAGACGCTCAATACACCACTGTCGCAGCAAGTGCGAGACGCGCCAAAGAAGCTATGGACGTACATGGACGGTCTAGACTTTATCCCCGAGCAGGCATTTGCTCAGTTCGAGCTGTTTACTGGCAAGCGAGCGCCACGGAGGGTGATGCGTGAGGAGGTACTGCGTGCATGGAGGGACGAGCAGGGCAATACTGATTTGGAGATGGTGAAGAAGAGATGCGCAGCCATAGACGACCAGGAGCCGTAGGGCTGCATGATGATACGAAGCATAATGTTATAATGCCTAATGACGAGCGTTGACTACAATATAACTATGTCGAGTCGGCTAAGCATGCTCACCTGGGCAAGATAGACGATAAGATCCCTGCAGCGATCGTGGTGCACGTTCCTAGTGAAAGTCGGGACGCGTCGAGTTGACAACAGCTGCACAAGCCAATGCGCTTACCGCTGCAATCCCGCCGCAACATAACTTAGCCACGCCTAGATTCAGCTTCCGCGCAGCTCAGACTACTATGCACCATCACGACAGGACGGCTGCCCGGAAATGACGACGCGCCAGCCCCTCCAAGCTCTTCCCCCGCCGTCGGCCAACGTTATCAACACCCGCTACGCCCACCTCCAGCGGCCGACCACCACCCGCAGCGCCAATGGAAGCGCAGGGATGGACGAGCAGAGATACGCCCAGGAAGACGTGCAGGATGCAGCTTCCGTCGGGTCTGCGCTGAGCGATCTCGAAAACGATGCCGAGGACGAATTCGAGAAGCGCATGATTCAGAATGCGCGCGACGAGCGGCGGCTGAACCAGGCGCTGGTCAGCAGACCGCAGGCTTTCCGGAAGGCACGCACGCACCCACGCGTCGGGCTGACTCTGGACAACCTGGAGAGAAACAACGCGGTAGCTGGGGCGGATGGCCATGTCAAATTCGAGAGCCCGCCCAGCAGCACCGGGAGCGCGAGGAGCGACCCGGCGATACATGCGCCAGCTACATGGGGGAGGAAGAGCAGGAGCAACCGGAACTGGATGCGCACCATCACGTACGAGGAAGAGCAGCAGCAGACACCCGCGCCGGCCGATGACACAATACACGACCACTACGATGAAGCACATGCAAACGTGCCGCGTCGCTCAGTCGAAGACAGCCCGCTCTCGCACAAGGGTACACCACGCAACGACCAGTCGCAAGAGTGGGACCTTACGTTCGAGCTCAACGAAGCCTCTATGATAGCATCCACGCCTTACATACCACGCAACACTGTGCTAGACGATATACGGCAGAGGGAGATGGAGAGTGTAAAGGAGCAGGCAGCCACTGCCCGGCTGGAGAGAATGCGCCAAGGGTCGCCCGAACAATCGCGCCCGCGGACGTCTTCTATACGGACGGTAGACACTGTAGATAGCAGCGCGAGAATAACAGAGCAGGTGACACAGCCAGCTCCTTCGCCGAAGCGGAGACTGCGCACGCGGACCCATTCGTGGCAGTCCATTGGGAAGGCGCAGCCGGTCACGGGCATCGGCATGGAAGATCCGCCAGTTGCCATGTACAAGAGTGCCGAGAACATAGCTGCAGTAGATCGCGAAGCAGTCGCCACGGCCCAGCCTGTCCCTCCAAGACGCATACCGAACCGAAGAGAAGACTCGCAGGATCTGTTGCGGCGGCTCGCGAGAGTCTCCAATACACCAAGCCCGAGACAGACAGCACCATCCAGACCGGAATCTGCGCCCCCGGCACCGCTCGACAGCGCACCGCAGACTGTGCTGACCGAGACTACGCAATCTGAAAGCAAACCCGCCTCTGTGGAGGAGACGCCTGTCTCTGCCGAGGTTCCTGATGCGGCAGCAGCGACCTCGACCGTGCGGCAAGAGCACACTGAATCCAAGGAAGCTGCGGCAAGGACCGAGCAGGTGGAAGCTACACCAATGCCGAAAGAGCGACCCGCCCTGAACCCAAAGACGCCAGTGGTGACTGGTGCTTGGGTCGATACACCAGGCCCGCGTACAGTACAAAGACCTGCCGTGGCGTCAAGATCGCGTTCACTTTCGCCCAAGAAAGGCAGTCCGCGCAAGCAAAGACCGTCTGAGAAGGCCGAAGAGCCATCCGAAGCCATGCCCGTAGAGCCTGTTCGCCCTCAACTTCCAAAGTCTGCATTGCAGGCTCTCGTAGACGAAGCCAAATCTCAAGGCAGACGGCCATCAGCCGACTTCGGCGATTCGACCATCAACTCACTCGAAGATCTCATCGCTCCGTCAGGTGAAAGCCAAATAGACGAAGACACTCTTCAAGGCCTTCAGCTACCGACTGAGACTCCTCGGAATGAGGCAGAGCGCCAGCGACAGCAAGAGCTGTTACATCTCCACCGCATGAACGACCGCCTTCGCGCAGCGCGGACCAGCATTCGCGATGCAAGCCGCGGCATGAAGCGCGTCGAAGACCAAGTCGAGCACGTAGAAGAGGGCGAGAATGGCGAAAAAGTCAAAGTCGTGAGTCGTGCATGCCCTTGCGCGGTAGACGACCATGTCCAGCACTTTTCCATGTTGAGATGGTGGAAAAGTCTGTTCTGGCAGCAACGATTGAAGACCCTGCGGCGGACATCGAACAGTTGGGGGAGAGCGTGGGGCGGCCTCACAGGCTTGAGTATCTTCTTGATAGTCCTTTTCACTTGGTGGATAAGTGAAGAGATTGCTTGGTATGTTGCATCTATTCTGCCGTTTCGCGTACAGGAACGTCACTGACTAGTCTCACAGCGAGATGTACTGCCAGCCGATGTATGCTTACTCGTCGCCCCATCCATTCAGCGTCAACATGAAGGCTCCCAAGTTCCCCTTTGTCATACCCACACTCATCTACCGGACCTTTGTTCAAGGCTGGTGGGTACCAATATCGTCCTTCTTTTCTTGGATTGCCGCCACCATGTGGAGTTTATTCTTTGGTTTCGAAGAGGCGCAGGCCGTTAATTACAGTGCCAGCCAGACTATCAAAGCTGGGAGCACCATGAGGGAAAGCCACTGGATTAGCGATGAGGCGGCCAAACTTATGGAGGAGAAGGGCTGGGACCACAGCATGTTTGAAGACGAGATTTTGCCCGGGGGCAGGTGACGGCAAGGAATTGCTTTTGTCACGGTCATTCATTACTTTCCTTTTGTCACATTGATTCAGCGAAGGCGTCTTGTCTATTAGGGCCGCATGTTTGAAACAGGAGTTGGATACGCCACGATTGTATTATTATGATAGTGTCTTGGATATCGCGTGTGAGTAGCAAGGGTCATGTCGGTTTATCGACTGATCCTTGATCATTGCATAAGAAGAAATTTGTCGCATACCTCAACTTCGGCTTTAAGATGCTTTTGTGATCGAGACGGAATGAAGGATTAAGACATCTGCTTCGCATCTTTTTGGGTAGTTCCACCTATCTCGCATCAGCCTCGAGTAGCTCGTTGTCTATTCTGTTCAAGCTTGGCCTGCAGTTCTCCGGCTTCTTCCTCTTCCTTCTCCAATTCCCGGCGTAGCCTTTCTTCACACGCTTTGGCTTCAGCCGTAATGATCAAGCCTGTACTTGTATCTTCGAGCGCGCAGGCGGGGTCTCTCAGCTTCAAACTCAACGTGAAAGGTGGAGCCCAGTGTTTACTCAACAGCGACCTGGTGGTAGTCCTACTTACCTTGTCTACGCCAGTATAGCGCGCGTAGTCGAGGCCTTTGCCTAGCACATCACTCTAAACGACAGGATTACTCCCTTCTTTGAAAGCTGTTCTCGCTGTTGAGCGTCGATACTTGATAAACCATCCAGCAACGCGTCTCACATGGTTGATACTGCCGTTACATGGGAGTAGAAGTACTACCTGATCTTGTACCTACTGACGCTGTGTAATAGAAGTATGCCGTCATGTAATCGACGATTAATCGACATAGGTCAGGGCATGAGTGAACACCTGGGCAGCGTCGACAAGGAACAACGAGGAATATATTCTGGGGTGGTCGCCAGACAGCAGAGTATCGCATTTCGCGAATGCGATATACCATAGTGCTCGTTATGCGATACGCAATGCGGCTGTTGTTGGATGTATCAGTGATGTCGAAAGGCTAGCAGCTTGTTGCCCCGCGAGCAGCGACGCGTCCTCGCAGCACGTGACGTATGGGCTTCCACCTGAGCACTCTCCAAACTCTGCCTGCCCCTCAACTCAAAACCTACGCAAGCCACCATTTGCAGATTGCTCGGCCAGACTCCGATGACGAGCGACCAACGCGAACCGTCGCCTGGGTACTGATACACAATCGCGCCGCTACCCCAGCCCATTGGCGCGCGCTCCTCGCTTCTAGACAAGTTCACATCTGCATCCGGCATGGTGTTGCGGACTTCAAACACCTGCTAACTCAGACACCCTTGCATCACCCCAGCTGAAACATGCTGATTGGTTTCAAGCGCCGCCCATCCAATCCTCCAACCATTAATAGTTTCCCGGTTCTGGGGTGTCGTTCGCAGGGTTTAGGGGCGGAACACCTGGGACGCGTACCTTGTGGGCTCGAAGTGTCTCAGTATGCCGCCCTCTGTGGGGGCTTGACAGGACGTTAAAAGGTGGAGGGGCTCGCTGCTGCGCGAGGGAGGTAAAAGCAACGTGAAGCAGGTCTAGCAACTTGCGGACGGTGCGGTGTAACAACATTTTTATCTTTCGAGCGCGGGCCGCACACAGTACATTCTCTTCTTGTTGACGACGACGCCGTATTTACGCCGTAATTTGGGGTCGGAAGGCTTACTATCACTCATTCTTTGTCGCCGCCCCTCGTTTCTGTTCGACCTCACTATCTGGCTTGCGCCTACACTACGATCCTTCGGTCGTTCCCACGTTCAACGCAAGATCAGTTCTCAAAACGCCAAAATGTTTCTCGCCACAATTAAACTCTTCTCGTTCCTGATCAATCCAGAGTTCTGGGCCAGGACCGGCTTCTTCGTCGGCTACATTATCGCTTTCCTCCTCGTCTTGGAAGTTGTCCGTCTAGCCAGCACAGATGCGAATCGCAAAGAGGTTGAGAAACTTCTAGACGCGTATGCTGCGTCGAGGAGTGACGTGCCTGTGAGAAGACGTCGAGAAGAGGTTGCACCAGTGAAGAAGGTGGTGCAGGTATCCATCGATGAATTGGAAGACATGGAGAGGAGAAGTGTGATTGCCGAGCAGGAAAGACAAACACAAGAACATCAACAACGGGAACAAGAACGGACACGCACTCCTAGCCCTGCAGCGGCGCGGATACCAGAGTCCAAACATACCGAGGAGAAGCGCAGACGCAGAACGACATCTACATCCGTATCTCCACATGCTATTTCTCAGTCCCACTCACACCCGCAAACCACCTCCTCTTCGAGTCCTACCCGCCGTCTTCGGAAACGCAGCGACACGCTCAACTCTTCCAGCAGCGCAGAGGCTAAGGGCACTGCCGTACGGAGGCGCAGGGAAACCTCTCCCATAGAGTCTAAGACACGGGAGTCGAGGCATGCGAGTCCAACACCAAGATCGAGAAGCAAGGAGGCCAAGATACTAGGCGGATCATTGGGCAAGATGCTGAGGAGTAGAGGCTGAAGTTGAGCGGAGAGTCCGAGACAAATTATGTATAACCTTTTATGCTACGTAGGCATGACTTTACGAGTAGATGTAAATCTTCGAAATGTACAAAATTGGGTATCTTATCAACACGTTCACGAACCCCAATCATGCTTCCTTTTTGTCTATCCTGAAACTCGACGTTAGGTCCAGCCTATGCACCTGCCAACCCATCCATACCCCCAATCTCCTTTTCAAATACCTCAAAGTCCACTCCTTCGTCCTCGAACATCTTCTTCACCTTCTCGGCGGCAGCTATCTGTCGCTCTTGCGTGAAGCCACCCGGTGCGTTGCTTTCGTACTGGATGAGCTCGACCCATCTGAAGAACAAGCTCTCCTTGCCCATGGCTGTGAGCCGGTCCTTGAACTGTATGACCTTGTCCCTCGCTTCGGTTTCCGAGCCTTCATCGAGCTTTGCGCATTCCCAGACAGCCCATTGTCCGTTCTCTGCTTCAGGGTCGCCGACGTAGACGAAGACGCATTTGCGGAGGTGGTCGAGTGTGATGTCCTTGCGATCGAGCAGTTGCGTGGCAGCAACCATGCCAAAGAAGTCCAGGTCGAAGTCTGAATCCATCAACAGATATCCCGTCTTCTCCCTCAACCTCGTCTTGTCAACCGCGGGCAGAACTCTGGTCTTGAAGAAGGGATTATCCGCGCCTGCACGCCCACTTCCACCTTCAGCCTCCCCAAGCAGGTCTTTAGCTCCCCATCCTCTGCTGACCCTCACGTATACCTCCTCATCCCTGAAGCCCACGTTCCACCGCCAGCTTACTGGGTTGCCTGGCTGCTCAATGAAGAAAGTGAACGGCCATAGCGCCACGAACCGGAAGAGTAGGAAGTCCAGCATGAACATGGCCATGCGCTTTCCTACCCTCCATAGCAAATTTGCCCAGGATGTGCCTGCCCAGTATATGGTAGTCTCATTGTGGTTTCCCATGACGGACATGAGAATGGCCCAGTAGTGAGGCCCGATGACGTACAGGCGCCATAGTACGAGCGCGGTTATGGCCGTGTTGAGGAGGACGGGGACGCCGAATATACGCCGCTTGAACCAGGCTGGATGCACATCGACATGTGCTATGTATACGAGCGAGCGGTCGAAGGTGGACAGGAGCGTCTCGAGTTCAGCCGGGGCTGCGGTGAAGGGCTGCGGGATGGCTTTCTTGGACTTTGTGCCGGCGGGCTTGACCGCGCGTTGTTTAGTCTTGGGCGGCATGGCGAAGGCTACGAAATTGCGGAAACTACGACGGGGTTTGGAGGAAGCATTGGCCGAAATTACGATGTGCTGAACGTTGTGGTTGGACACACGCAACTTCGAGCTCCAGCATCATTCCGATCAGTTTCACCGTTCCGAAAATCTGGGGTAGCTGCCATCCACCACACCACACCTCAAGATATCCATTCTCAACCTCAACTGCTCCTTTTCCCTAGCTTGACACACGCCCAATTCGCTCCTTTATGCAAGTGCGACACCTTATCTCTCAGCCTCCTCTAGGCTTTCACATGCGACGTCTATTTCGGGACAAAAGCAGGTCGGCCTTTGTTCTGCAAAACCCCCCGATGGACGCATCATTTAGCACCGTGCCCAAGTCAGTGCCCTGTCCCGGTTTGGGTTCATCTGGGTCGGAGCTCGTTTGACGTTTTCGCCGACCATCCACTCAGGAACTGCGTTCTGCTGATCTCCGGCATCACTGAGGAGACCCGGTACTACCGTCAGCCGTCGATAACGTCAACATGAAGGCACCTTATTGAGGCACAGTTGACTGCGGCGCAATGTAAGCAGTGTTCTTGGTCATGGAAAACATGTCGTACATTCTTCAAGATGCAAGAACATCTATACACCGCAGAAAGGAGACTGAATGAGAAAAAGCATACTATGCGTTGAGAATAGCAAACGTTAGATCTGCGGAAAGATCGCTCGCGTACCACGGGTGCGGTAGGTATCCACTCACCGCAGAAGCCGGTAGCCCCAATCCAGTGAGGCCTTGTGCTGCCACGTCTAGGCACGGCTGCGGATAGGCCGGGCACGTCGTATGGAACGACCGTCCATCCAATTGGATTGAACATGGTATGGTTATTGCATAGTCGTCATCTAGTTTGCTTATCTGGGTCAGCCGCTGCTCTGCTCTAAGCGATGCATACTACCGTTTAGACTGCATCAGTCGCGTGGCAGTAGAACCTGATATACACCACCTCGTTCCCGCCTCCCAGGTAGAGCTTTTTGGTTCTCTCCAACCTCCTCTGCAGCAAACGTTTCATACGTCCAACATCAAACGGGCAAAGATGTCGCAGCAAGGAACCCAAGGACCTCCAGTGAGTGATGTCAATTCCAGCCTCCTCCTACGCGCAACTAACCATGGTCAGTCTGGAGCTTCTGGGCAAGCCAGTCGAGGCCCTCCATATGCGCCTCTCAATGCCGGCCTGGGTGGAACCCCTGCCATTGTGCCTGACGTACCTCTCGCCATCGTCTTTCTCATACTCTACCTGATCTTTGGCGTCATCCACATCAAGATCTTTAAGGGTAACAAGCATCGCGGGCACAAGTTCATCTTCAATGGCGCTATACTCGGTAAGTTCTTTCACTCCCATTGACTAGTATGCGCACGGCTAACACATTGCAGGTCTCTGTAAGATTAGAATCATCACCATGTCCTTGCGGATAGCGTGGGCCAACTATCCCAGGAACATCGGACTCGCCATCGTGGCCAATATCTTCGTCTACATCGGTACCATCATCTTGTACGGAGTGAACTGGTTCTTTGTCCAACGCATTGTCCGCTCCCAGCATGCGCGCCTAGGATGGTCAACGCCGTACCGCATTTTTCACCGAGGCGGACTGGTTCTGTTGGTAGCCACTCTACTTATGCTCATCATAAGCCAGATCTGGCAGTTCTTCACACGCGACCAAAGCAAGCTTACTGCTTTCCACGACCTATTCGTCCTCGCTCAGACATATTTTACGATATTCTGCTTTGCGCCAGCTATCCTAGTAGGCATCTCGCTCCTCGTTCCTAGGACAGAAGTCGAGAAGTTTGGCGCTGGTCGACTGAGGTACAACATCATCATCCTCCTCATCTCGGTGTCTGTTCTCTCCATCGGGCAGATCTTCCGCTGCGTTCTGGCCTGGATTCCAGGAACCCCATTGATTGATGTACAGCGCGACGTCATCAAGCTGCCGTGGTACCTGACCAAGGGAAGCTTCTACTGCTTCAATTTTGTCACTGAGATCCTCGTCATCATCATGTTTGCAGTGGTTCGCGTCGACCTACGTTTCTACGTGCCAAATGGGGCCAGGAAGTCAGGTGACTACTCCAGGAGCCGCGTTGACTTGCACGACGAGAACGAGAAGAATCTTACCGTACCCCCGCCCACTCTGGCTCACCCGATGGCCCACCCCAACGACTCAAGTCAAACGCTACACAGATACCAGTCTTCCGTGTTCGAAGACACCCAGACACTGGCTGATTCACTACAATACCCTCATTCGACTCTAGAAGTAGACAACACAGGTAGCTGGAAGGTCAAGCGTCTCTCGGGCGACTCATCGAGAAGCCGCCACACTACCATTTCTTTCGCAGCCTCATCTAAGACAACACTAAACGATAAGGCTTCGCGCCCCGATATCAATGTGCCGCCAGTTCCAGAACTGCCTGCTGAATGGCCATTGCCAGCTTCCACGCCACCGCCGGGTGCAAGTTCTGTTCTGGAGCATACAAATCCGCCATCGCGTCGGGGCACCCCGCAACAACAGACATACGAGCTTGAACATCACCAATTGAATGAGTTTGATGTAGGCGATGCGGTTACCGACGCATTGGCCAGGCTGGAATCAAACAGTGACAGACGTAGAGCCAACCCTTCGACCCCACCTCCGAGATCTCATCGCAAAACGCCAGTACCGGTTTACACTCCTACTATGCCGTCTAAAAGTGGAAGTGTCTCGCCATCCCGAAAGACCAGGAAGCGCGTTAGTTTCCCGCAGACAGAGGTCATCCGCAGCCGCGCAAACAGCGCCAATTCTCAGGGTGCAAGAACCCCTGCTATCGAAGAGATCCCCGAACTCCCGATCCAGAAGCCCTCCGAGTCATCAAGACCAGCTCACCGAACTGGACCGACAAGAACTCCTAGTCTCGAAATTATCTCCTTGTTGAACCACATGAGTGGCGATTCCACTCGCATCCGAGACGCATCACTCCAGCGAACACGCGCCACCTCAGTCGCGGGATCGGACGAACCTAAGACTCCCGCTTCTTGCGATCTTACTCGACAGACAAGTTCAAAGTACAGTAATGATAATAGCAGCGCAACAAGCTCCGAAGTGCGAGAGAAAGAACTCGCGAGGGAGGAATTCCGTCGCTTCAGCTCAGAGGCACCGCACAGATAGGGTTCGTCTCTTTGAGCAATACCCACGAACTCACGACTTTCCTTAATCTCTAATGGCTTGACCATCATACATTCTTGTTTTGACCGGCGTCTGCAGCATCTCGTACATATGGTACGCTACGCGCATATTGGTCCACATATCGTCCCACTCTCTGGACGCTTCCCTTATTGTACATACTTACAACTCAATCCTGAGTATTTCCTATACAATGATCTTAGGCGTCTAGTGCTATTAAATTGAATTTATCATGCTGGTCGCCTAACGGCACGGCGCATCACACATATCCGCTCCGGTTCTTTGTCTCCACCCGATATTTCAGGCAGCAACATTCTTGCAACCACCATTCGTTCGTGACGCTAAATACAGTCCGCAGACATTTTGAGTATCGTACGTATGCAATATCATGTAGGAAGCTGCAGCGGACCGGAAATTGAGAGTTCATCCGATGCGTTCAAATTCCGAAGTGAGTAGATATGTATAAAGTAGTTGAAGGCAGTGAGCAACTTTCCGTACCACCAACCAGCATCACAGTTTCAGTTCTATCTCAACCTTCACAGTTCAGCAACAATGTCCTCTACCCAAACTCCT